AGCTCAGTGGCAAAGCACCTGCCTGGCAAATGCAAGGCCCTGAGTTTGATTCCTGGTCCCCCCACCAAAAAAGAACCACTCTACTTTTGCTCCTGTCCCTGGGTCCTGCCTGCCATTCTGTGCTTTAGTCTTATCTGTTCTGCTTCCCTGATGGGGAGGCACTGTGTTGGCCCTGCAGGTCCCCAAATTTGAGGCACTGCACTGCATAGTTTGCCCTCTTCCCTGGTAAGAATGAGAATGTGTTGGGATAGGAAGAGCTTTGAAGCATGGTGAGTACAGAGATAAAGCTTGTGTTTATGCCTGGAGAGGTTCTTTTCTTTAGGAAGGTCTGAGATTTCTGGTGTTGGGATACTACTTTAGAGGGAGTGGAGATTAGATGAAAGCGTGAAGCAGGGCCTGGTGTTGCTCACCTATAATCTGAGCACTTGGGAGGCAGAGGCAGGAGGATTGCAAATTTCAGCACAGCCTGGCCACTTGGTGAGACCCTGTCTCAGAATATAAAGTAGAGAAGGATCCTTGTGAAGGCCCTGGGTTCAACCCCCAGCACCACCAAAAACAGAGAATTGTCCATTCAGTTATTGTTTATTTAGCCTTTCTTTTGAGAGTGAACATTGTGGTAGTTTCTACGCCTACAAATATTGCAATTTAGGAACATTTCTTGGTGTCCATTTGGAATGTTGATGCTCAGCTTTGAGAAGTCTGTGCCAAATAATTTTCCAAAGTAGTTAAACTGGTTTATAGCTGCTACCAGTAAAATAAAAAAATGTATCTGCTCCACATCCTCGTCTGTGGCCACAGGGCTGGATATATATGGCTTAGACAAGCTAGTGAGTATAACATTGTTTCTTACACCTGGCAATTTTGCTACTTTTCTTGGGTGTAATGATGACATCATGGTAACATAAAATCAAAAAAAAGCATGCATATTGACATGAGCAATGAGATGAAATAACTGACATTTACTTTAAAATTCCTTAGCAAATACAAAGCATATTTTTTGGTCAGCTATCCAGATTGAAATAGAAACACAGATTAAAGTATTATTGCAATGTTGAGTTTACTCTTCTGTGCTTATGTAAGAGATGTCTACTCTTAGAAAGCATATGTGAAATATTTAAGAGACCAGGCCATAATGTATGAAAATTTATATGTATTGGTTACCTATCTCCCTACCTATCTGAGTGCTCGTTGTTACTAAGAATGGCCTGTAACCCTTCACCCCACTGCCTGGGTTTCCTTTTCACAGGTCCTAGGGGTGGAACAGGGCCTTGCATGCTGAAAGCGCATGTCCCTAACACCGTTGGCCTGCGTTCTAGTCACCATTAAGCTTCTGTGCACTCTGACTTTAAGCACAAATGGGGTCATACTGTATATAATTGCTCTTAAACTCCATTTTTTTTGCAATTAAAAAAATTTTTTTTCCGGTACCAGGGATCAAATTTGGGACCTTAATGCTTGCAAAGCATGTGGTAGAACCACTGACCTAAATCCCCAGCCCCTAAATCAAATATTGATCCTTAATAATGTTCCATCCTGGAGCTTAACTTCTATAGCCATGTCCATTCCTGAACAGTGAGATTCTCTGTTTCCCTTCCTATACAACGACAGAGCAAGCTGGCAGGGTCCCTTCCCTCCTCGCTCCTGCAGATCAGGTCTCCCAGTTAAGTGCATTCACTGCACTTACGACAGTGCAGTTAATTGCTCCTGCAGTCATTTCTTTCTACAGCCAAAGGAAGCTCCAGACAAGCAACGTGAGGTGCACAGTGGGCCTGAAGGATTTGTTAAATCAAGAAAAAACTCATTGTAGGGCGGGGGATTTAGCTTAGTGGTTCTGCTGTGTGCTTTGCAAGTGTAAGGTTCCGAGTTCAATCCCTGGTACAAAAAAAAAATAAAACCTCAGTGTACAACATTAGTGCCACCATCCTTTTACTGAGGATTGAACCAGCACCTTCACACTGAGCTCTTTTTTGTTTGGAGACATGGCCAGGCTTGAACTTGCAGTCCTGGTGCCACCGTTTTCTCCGTGCTGGGATTACAGATGTGTGCCACCCTGGCAGGCTAACTGTCTTACTGTGAAGTGATACCCTGCTACAGCCAACTTTGGAAGCTCCAGAAGAATCCATTTCTAAGCAGGGCTCATTGAAGATTTCTTTATTGGATGAGGAAAACAACTGTGCAAGATCCAAGCACTGCAGTGCTAGGGCTTGCCTTGGAAAGCCCTGCCTGCCCCCTTGCCCTCTGAGATCACCTGTGTGTGGCTTACTTCCAGTTTCTGGGCTGAGAGACCCACAGTCAGGGCAAGTGTGCTGGGCAGAACCTTCTGTGGCAGCCTCCCTGCCTCCCGCATTTGCCCAGATGACACACAGGCTCTGTCCTCGTGGCCCCAGTGTCCAGCGGACAGTGTCATTAGAACTGTGAAGCGATGCTCGAGTGCGATCAGTTTTAAGCGCACCCTCTAACCACTCCTCTGCTTCCTGCCCAAGGCCCTCTGCAGGAGTGGGCTGCAGAGCACTAATATTGTTAGAAAGCCTCAACCCTGGTTGGGGATGGGACCCAGGCAGGCACTGACAGCGTGCTGAGAGTAAGAGCGCTCTGCATTCACTGGGGGGCCCAGAAGTGGAGCTCCGAGATTTGTGGTAGATGCTGTGTGTGAGTGAGGCTGTCTCCACCACTTCCTGAACAGAAACAGGAAAAGTCCATGAAGTTAAAGCCTCATTTTATGGAGTAGTAACATGAAAGTGTATTTCTTCTTTTTTCTATGATTTTGATAATTTCATAACCTTTTTGTCACCAAAACTTTAACGTCGTATTTAGTAAGGTTGTGTGTCTACGTTCATGCCAGGTTCTTGTGTCAAGGTGCATCCATTTTCCCACGAATGACTCAAGTTTGTCATTTTTGTCAGAGTAGTACTCTGTTGTGGGTAAATACCACATTTTCTTTCTCCATTCACCTGTTGATGGGCAGTTAATCTGCTCCAAGACTTAGCTTTTAGGAGCTGTGCTGCTGTAAACACAGTGTGCTAGGTCACTGCAGTGTGGTGCCTTAACTCTTGGGAAGATGCCTAGAAGGGGAAGAACTGGGTCAAATGGAATTTCTTTTATTTTGAGGAATCTCCGTACTGATTTCCATGGTGGTTCTACTAGTTTACATTCCCACCAGTAGTCATAGAAGTGTCCTCTCCCCCCACGGCCTCACCAGCATCTGTTATTTGATTTCTTGATGGTGGCCACTCTTACTGGGGTAAGATGCAATCTCAGAGTCGTTAGTGTCCTGAAGTTTAGGAAAGGGTACCCCACCTTCACCCCTGCCCTGCTGCAGGGTTTTAGCTTCACGTCATGGCCCAGAGCAGCATCTCTGTGTGTGTGTCTCTCCCTCCCTCCCACACTTCTGGGTCAGGGAAGGCAGATCATGGTTCTCCCATTAGTTCACAGCACAGAGCTAAGCGAATGCAGGAGGGAATCAGGATTGTGTGTCTACTTGTTAGAAGTCAGGAGATTCAAAGCAAGAAACTACTGTGCTCATTTTGCTTTGAGATTTTTTTTTTCTTTTTTCTTTTTTTTTTTTTTATTGTTGTTGTTGTTGTTTGGTATAGGAGATCAAACTCAGGACCTTGCATTTATGAAGCAGGCAGCAGAACCACTGAGCTAAATCTCCAACCCCCTCCTTTTTTCGTAAGGAGAAAGGTGCATGTTGTTTTGATTAGTCACCGCTAAGTGGCCTTCTAATGGCTGGGAGACTGTGGGGCATTCTGGGTGGATGCTGTACACATCCTAGGCATTCTCGTTAGGGAAAAACATTTAAGGGTTTTTAAGAATTGGCTGTGAAGCATTAGCCCTGGAAGAAGCCTTAAGGATTGTAGTAGTTCACTCTTAGACTGTTAAGGAAACCGAGTCAGGAAGGAGAGAGAAACTCTCCAGTCCTCAGTGATGCTGCCTTGGCAGGGAGGATGCAGAGGCAGCTGGGGGGTGCTGCCGGAAGTTGAGCGGAATGAAGCGTTCTGCTGCTTGTTTACCAGAGCACATCATCTGTGAGACCGGGAGGAGGGTTATTATGCACAGTGGGATAGTTAAACAAAACCACATTTGGAGCTAGCATCTTCAGAAAGCAGGTGAATCCCACCTGCCTTGAAGGACCATCGGCCTTGCTCCCTGCCTCCCTTCCCTCCTGGGAAAGCTCTGCAGAGGGAGTTTGTGGACACTGGCTGTAGTGACATTTGAGCCCACCAGGTGGCAAAGTCGCTTCACTTCAGTGCCTTGCCTTTGGCTTCTCAGTGAGCTAGTGATGACCTATCCCTTACTTAAATAATAAAAAGTTTCCATGATATTTGTTATAAATATATTTTTTTAATTTCATGTGCTATTTTGAGTTATGAGAAAAGTTGCTGCTGTATTTCCTCTGCTTGCCTGATGCTTGCTGCTGTTAGGATAGTAGGGCTCTGTCCGAAGCCCTGTCCTCAGTGGTGGTATTGTTCTACGTTCCTCCTGCTAACCCGCGGTGCTCGATTGAAGCATAGGTGGGCGGGATAGGCTCAGCAGACAGCTTTCTGTTCCTCACACAGCCCTGCACCGTCCTTCGCCCACGGCTGCAGCCCTCATCCCGTCCCCTGGCCCAGAGTGTGCTCATGGCCTGCGCGGCTCTCCTGCTGTCCTAATGGGGCTGTGCCCAGGGCCACCAGACACATTAGGGTCCGCCTCTTCCTGCCACACACACTGGGTGACCTCTGAGCCTCGGTCCCTCCGCTGGTGAGTGAGCTCTGGTGGGACTGTGAGGGAGGCTGGAGGGCAGCCCTCAGAGAGCTCGGAGCAGGGGTGCCGCGCCACTGCTTGGCTGCTCCTGCCACTGTCATCCATTCCCTGGAGCTGCTTAGGAAACTTTCTTCTGCCTTGGTTTTTGGTGGGGTTTGTTGGTTTGATTGAGTTTTTTGTTTGTTTTTCTTTTGGGACCGGGGATAGAACTCAGGACCTTGCATTTGGGAGGCAGGCAGCAGAACCACTGAGCTAAATCCCTGGCCCTTGTTTGGATTTTTTTTTTAATACAGGGTCTCACTCTGTTGTCCAGGCTCAAACTTCCTGAGCTGAAGTGATCTTCCTGCCTCAGCCTGTGGGCAGCAGGGGCTACAGGCACTGCCACCACACCCTGTGGGAGCTTTTCCTGAGTTGCTGTCATCCATCCCCGTAATGCACCCAGCACTTGGTCTCTGCACTGCCCTTCCCTGCACTGCTGCTCCGCTTGCTTGTGGCCTCTTCTGCCCTGCAGGTGCCCTAGCCCCTACAGGACACTGCTTAGGCTTTGCCTTTCCGTCTGGCTGCTGGGCAGTCCAGCTTCTTTACGAAACAGGGGTGGTGCTGCTAGCAAGTGGGGGTTTAGGAATTTTATGCATTCCCCTGATGAGTGAGCTCTTACTCAGTCTTTAAGTGATGTCACATTTACTTGTGCCTGCTGTCACAATGGTTCCTGGAATTCCTGAAGCAAGGGAGCCAGTCACAGAACCATGTGCTCCTAGTCCTGATGACGTGGGAGGCTGAGGCAGGAGGGTCACTGAAGCATGGTGAGACCTGGTCCAAAAACACCAACCGAAACCAGAGTCCCAGGCTCACATGGTGCGTGTGGTTCTGTGGCCAGAGCTGCACGTAACACATCTGTGTCCATCACATTGCACAGCCATGCAGCCGACAGCTTCCCCACTCACCCTGCGTGCGGGGCCCCAGTAGCGCTGGGAGCCAAGCAGCGAGGCCTCCACCCTGCCATGCAGTGCATGGGGACCAATGGGCGGGTGGGATGGGACTGTGCTGCCCCTGCTGCTCTGTGTCCTCTCAGCACCTGCCTTCAGCTCCAGTCAGTCTTTGTTTTTCACAAGGGTAGATTTTAGTTTTTCAGATTGAAAGCTTCCTTTCACTCAATTTAAGGAAATCCTGTGGGAGGTTGAGACAGATGCACAGAGTCAATTTTCATACCTGTCCTGCCAGCAGCAGCTGCCACCCTGTGGAGGAGAGGGGGGGGGCATCCGGGGTCCCTGTGATCACCAAAGAAGCGCAGCAGGGAGCAGAGTGTGGCCTGGCAGCTTTGGGAGGAGGAGGGCAAGGAGGGCCTGGCTGCCCAGGTGGGGGATGGCCCAGTTTTGCTAAATTGCAACAGTTGAAAGAGCTGATAGCTTTACTTAATTCTAGAGTTGGAGCACACCTCATCCCACAAGGTAGAGTAAGTGGAATTAGCAAAGAGGTTGGCTTTGTCAAGAGAGAAGGGCTTGAGCCAGGCAGAAACCAGGGAAAAGGCTTCCTCTAAAGGACCAGGAGCCAGAACAAGAAAATAACTGATTAGTAACCTCAGATTATTTCAGGTCACTTTTGTGTACAGATTAAAGCCCAGGGAATTTGTTATCATGTCATTTGAAAACTGGACGGTTTGGAAAGTTCCTCTCTCTGAACCTTAGAAGTTGAAAGTCATATAAACAACTGTTTTAGCTGAGTGACACAGCATTGGCAAGAGGCACTCCATTTTGAGTTTTAGTGTGGTCTCATGGGGGCCAGTGCAGAAGCTTAGTCCAGAACAGCCTCCTGTGACTTATTCAACACTGAAACGGTCAAGGAGGTTGCCGAAGGTAACCCAGTCATTAAATTAGTGTGTATGAACTCTTAGGAGTCAGAACCAAGCTAGGATCTGGCCCTCTCTTACCCCACACCTCACCATGCTGCCTTTCCTTGCTGGACAGAAAACCTAGGATGCTGACACTGAGCAGGCCACAGCCCCCAGCACCCATTCGGCAGATGCCTCCCAAAGCGTTGCTGGACACTGGGCATGCAGAAATGTGAAGCTGTGTCTGCTGGAGGCTTGAGACAGTTTTCTCTGTGGGTCACAGGGCTCCACATTGACTTACCTCCTTGCAGCCTTTAGGGCAAGTGGTGTTGCTGTAAAGACCGCTCCCTGTGAGAAGCAGTGCCCGCTGTTGACTGCGTCCCATCCAGCACAGCGACTGCTGCTGCTCTGGCTGGTGTTTAGGGAAAGCGCTGGGGCTGGGGCCGCTGGCGCAGCATCTAAAGTGCTCTGTTTCATCTGTTGCTAAGTCTGGTCAGGAAGGCTGGGGTGGGCTGAGTGGGCCCTGTTACAGATGCAGCAGAAGAATTGTAAGCAGGCGGCAGCCACCCTGGGACCGCGTCACTCCTCAGCCTTCAGACCATGTGGCACACACGGGATTGAAAGTGAGGGACACTAAAATATGCCTGCATCTCCCTTCATATCCAGCCTTTGTGTTGATACCAAGCTTGTTCAGTTTGTGACTTACTGACATTCAGGTTAATTGGAATTTGCGGGAGTAACCGGCAAGGACATATATGTTTCAGGTATAAAAAATAATAAGCCAGTGCCTTCGCATTGGCATCAACATCGAGTTACACTGTAGGTATTGCTGTTGGAATCAAGGTTGTCCCAAGTATTAGAAAATGTGCTACAAAAAGCATTTGAATTCCTTAACATTCCTGCATTGGCTCCCCGTGCTGCCACCAGGAGGAGCGGGGCTGGGCAGCGCTGAGTCAGCTGCCACAGAGGCAGGGCTCCATCCATCTCAGGGTGGCTGTGGGCAAAGGAGTGGCTCGGAACCCTTCTCTCTGTCATTGTCATTGCTCCTAAAGAGTGAGGTTTGGGGGCGAGGGGTTCCCTGTTTGTTCTAGAGAGCTCTGTTCTCTGTTGTTTCAGCCTGCGTGTTTTCTGATTCATGAAGGGAGCAAAGCCGTGCTGTGGGCCAGCCCAGGTTTTCTGGCATCTGGGAAGGAGGATGGGAATGTCCTCCGAGCTCCTCCTGGGGTCAGTCCATTTTCTCATGTGTCCTCAGTGCGAGAAAGCTAGCAGGTGCCCCCTTCTGTTGGGGCATCAGAGGCAGGCACCAGGCCTAAGGCCACACCAGGGATTTGCTGTTTTACCACATAGCTGGCTGTGTCAGAGCCCGTGCTGTGCACGTGTGAGGCAGGGCTTTGATTCCACCACTGAAAACCAAACAGGACCCCCTAAAAATAGTTTGTTTATGCTTTAACCTCAAGTGAGACTAGAATCAACACCAGCTTTGTATTTCTTTCTAAAGTACTGTACTGGGCTGGGATTTTAGCTCAGTGGTATTGCCACCTGTCTCACAAGCCCAAGGTCCCAAGTTCGATCCCTGGTACCCCCGCCAAAAAAAAGAAAGAAAGAAAATGGCTTTTATGTTTATAGAAAAAAAAATAATAATTTTAAATAATAATAATAATAAAGTACCAAGGTGCACCACCTGCTTGTTTTAGAAAATTTAAGCAGAGCCGAGGGTTTTTGCTAGTTTTGTCCATTAAAGAGCAGACTTGGTTTCCCCCTATGGAGGTAGCGCTGGCAGCCTGCAGGTGAAGCCCCTTGTCTGCCCACCCCCATTGGGCCGTGCAGGAGCCCCGCAGCTCGGCCACACTGTGGGGCTGCTATCGCAATCTTGTTCTCTAAGTGTGGCCTGGTCGGTTTCCCAGTGGCTCATGGTCTCTCCTCCTGTCTTCCAGTGGACGAGTACATCGCCATCGCCAAGGAGAAGCACGGGTACAACATGGAGCAGGTAAATGTGCTTCCTTCCTTGTGTGGTTCAGGGTGGGCACGGAGGGGAATGAGTGTGGCCTCCCACACACTGCCGATCTGCCTCCTGGTGAGCTGATGTGCGTTATTCTGAGTCACTGGGTGGTAAATGTTTGACAGGGTTATTTAATATTATTCAGGACATTGATAGGAAAACTACAAAATTGATTTTTCTACCAAAGTATGTTGATAATTATATCTCATCCTCAAGTTCCAATTCCTATTGTAAGCATAGTAAGTGGGATTAATGCCTTTCGTGGCATTGATCTGTTACAGCTGTAAGTTAACTCAGTTTCTCAATTGCCTATCAAGGGTACCCAGAGTTAGGGTTATACACAAGTGGATACCTTTGGTTAGGCTTGGCATCTCTTTGAGTTAGGTTATCCTGGTCACTGAAGGTACTTTTTAGAAAAGCCATCTGTATTCATATAGTTCCAGAATCATTTAAAGCAAAGAAATAAGTTTCTCATTTCCAAACCCTATGCATTAAGTTTTTTTTTTTTCAATTTAAAATGTTTATAAATGTTATTGGAAATTTTCTAAATAATACCTGTATGGTGGTTTGGGGTTGGTTTGTTTTTGGTGAGTTTTTCTTTTTTAGGTACTGGGAATTGAACTCAAGGCCCTCATGTAAGGCAGGCAAGTGCTTGACCACTGAGCTACATCCCCAGCCCTATTTATTTTTACTTTTGAAACAGGATTTCACTGAGTTGCCCAGGCTGACCTCAGACTTGTGATCCTCCTGACTCAGCATCCCCAGTAGCTGGGATTACAAGTGTACACCACTGTGCCCAGCTGTACCTGTGTGAATTCTTAAGGATGATGGTCTTGACCATTCCATTTTGAAACAATCCTATTTAGTTTAGAATTGTGATGTAGGAAGTTTTTGCCTGAAAGTGTTGCTGGATTATTCTCGGTTCTGATTTGTTCCTCACCTATTTTTTTCTTTGAACGAGGGGCCACTATATACATTAGAGGTTTCTTGTGAAAGAATAACAAAGCAGTAGCTTCTAAAAATTCCCTACTCCTTAGGAACAGAGGTGTTGAAGTGTGGTGCTTTAAGAGCACAGTTCTGGAGCTATCTATCCTGCTTCTCTATCTTCCCTGCTCTGAGACACTTCGTTGGCAGGTTACTCAGTGTTTTTGGGCCTCCACATTCTAACCTGAGAAGTGGAGATACTGTCAGGCCATAGGGATTGTGAGCTAAACGAGTTAGTGTGCAAAGGGCACTGACAGGGAGGATCCCAGGACAGCACAGAGTGGAAGCCAGGAGTCTGTCCCCACACCTGGACGCACACTGCACTGCAGAAGGCATCTCTGTGCGTGTTCCTGGTGTGGCTTGCAGAGACCAGGGTGGGCAGAGGAGCACCCTGTCCCCTGCATGTGGGGAGCTGTGCTGAGGGCTGACTGCTGCTTGGCACAGGGGTGCTGTGCCTCCTGCCATTGTAAGTGGCCTGCCTCCTGCTGTCACGACCCTCAGGGGACCCAGGGGCCCGCCCGTGCCCTCTGTCCCCGCCATGTTTTTCACATCCCCTCTGGTGAGGCAGATGTGAGCATTGAACATTAGGATGTTCCTGGGTAACTGTGTAGTAGACGTGGGCTCCTCTGAGACCACGACAACAGCAAGTCATTGCGCATAGCCAGGGAAAGAAGTGGGCTCGGAAGAGACCCACAGAGACCTCACACTTTGCCCTCCAGTTGATCCTTCGAAAACAGACATCACTTCTTGCAAAGAAGCAAAAGCTGTGATAAAAGTACTATACTGGGAACTGCTGATTTACCAGTGTCACCACATTATTTGGTTTAGATAGCCAGTTTGCAACAGAAAGACCACACAGAAGGTATGGGCCTTGAAAAAAATTAAGTTGGCAGCAGACATTATCCAAAGTCTGTAAAACAGTGTTGTCATGGTGCTCAAAGAACTAAAGCAAGACGGGGAGAATGGCAAAAAAACGGTGTATGAACAAAATTGAAGTATTGAAAAAAAAAAAGAAAAAGCTTCTGGAGCTAAAAATTATAACTCAGATGAAGAATTCACTAGAGGGATTCAAAGGCACCTTTGAGCAGGCAGAAGAAATAATCAGTGAGCTGACGACAGGGTAGTTTAAATTACTGAGTCTGAGGAACAAAAAGAAAAAATGTTCATGAATAGCAGCAGCCATAAGTATTGCAGAAGAACATTGTGGGAGTTCCAGAGGAGAGAGAGCGGGTTCCCAGTGTGGGGTGGGGGATTGAGCTCAGTGGTGCCACCGCCCGCCTTGGAAGCATAAGGGCCCAAGTTCGATCCCAGTACCAAAACAAAAAAACAACTATCAGAGCAACTCAGCCCCGCAAACTTGACATGAAAGAGACTTGCGTCCATAACTGGGACTTGTCACTAGGAAGGGTCCTCAGTAATGTTACCAGGTTTTCACCAGACAAAGACCAGGGTTCTATTCATTCAGCACAATGGGGAAAACACTGCCAACAGAGGCTCCGCGGCCTCATAGAACCCAAGAAGTTAAAACCCTCGCAGCTAACGGAGCAGCTAACGGACATGGAGTTGGGCCTGCTAGGTGGGCCTGGCCCTGTGGGTGTTCAGGGCGCCTGTTTGGGCGGTGCACTCCTGCTGCACTTCCTATTCTCTTCAGGACTTCGGAGACGGATATAGTTTTTAAAAGTCTAAAAGCTGCTACTGCATTAATGCTTGTAACTCCACATTGTTTCCCCATCATAAGAGACAGGTGCATTTAAAGAATTATTAGTTTAATTTTTAACATACAATATATAACGTGCAGTTTTGTTATTCACAAGTTGAAAGATGGGGGAGAGCTGTTGAAGGAGCTGAACTTTTATACAGTATTGAAGCTGTGCCAGGATAAACTCACAGTGGAATGTTACAGCTTCAAGATGTTATGTGTAATCCCCGTGGCAACCGCAAAGACTGTAGCTGTACAATATACATATACAAAAGGAGATAAGGGAATTTAAACATTCCCAGTGAATAATCAACTAAACATAAGAGAAGAGAGTAACTCAGGAGGTGAGAGACAAGAAAAGCCATAAGGCTTAGAGGAGATAGGCAGATATGTGCCACAAGTAGTCTCTTCAGTATCAGTTAGTACGTGCCTTCAGTGCAGGTGGATTGTGATCTCCAGTCAAAGCATAGAGATGGCTGGAGTGAGTAAAAATACGCAGCCCCAGTGTATGCTGTGACCAAGAGGCTCCCGAGATCCAAAGACAGGTGAAAAGAGAAGGTTGAAGAAAGTGACAGGGGGAGAGCTGTGCTAGTGTCAGACAGAGTTACCCCTAACCACCAGGTGTGCAGAGGTGAGGTCATTCACTGTGGGTGGGGAGTTGGCCTTGAAAAATTAACAGTAGATCCAACATGGTTTATGTAAACGTGTAAATTTCCAATGATGAATGTCATTATATTGTATACCTTAAATGTAACAATAAAATATTTTTAACAAATTAATAGTAGCATCATGTGGGTTAGCAAATCCTCTCCTGGGTCTAAACCCAAAGAACTGAAAGTAGGTGCTTGAGTGTCCAGTGTATGAATAAATAAGCTAGGGTGTATATGTATAATGGCTTATTATTGAGCCTTAAAAAAGGAAGCCAGGTCCTTGGCTCAGCATGTGTGGCCCTTGCAGTCTTCTTTCTTTTTGAGACAGAGTCTCACTATGTAGCTGAGACTGACCTGGAACTCACTATGTGGCCCAGGTTGGTCTCCAACTTGCAGTGATCCTCCTGCCTCAGCCTCCCTTTGAGTGCTGGGATTGTAGGTGTGCACCACCACGCTCGGCACCCTTGCAATCTTTAAGGCAGGTGAGATAAGCCACTCAGGAGGACAGATGCAAGATGGTTCTGCTTAGCTGAGGTGTGTAGAGCAGTCTGACCACTGAGACTGGAAGACACTGGGAAGGGTGGTTGCCCAGGATGTGGGCAGACCCTGGGGCCAGGATGGTAGCTGCTGTTCAGTGGGTACAGAGGTTTAATTTCCCCAGGTGGAGGTGATTTCAAAACATGTACATTTGTTCAGTACAAGTGAACAGAATTTAAAAACGGTTGAGAGGATAAACTTTGTGTATTTTACCACAGTAAAAATATCGGGGGGAAAGGCTGGGTATTTATTTAGTTCAATGGTGCCACACCTGTCTCACAAATACAAGGTCCTGAGTTCTATCCCTGGTACCAAAAGAAATATTGGCGGGGGGATATAGGACAGTGTCTCCCACTTAGCAATTTATATGAATCAAGCATTTATTCCCTTGTCTGGATATAAAGTCACATATGCTTTTCTTTTGCCAGTATCACTTCAGCTTGTGTTTGATTCAGTTGTTTGGTCTAAAGTCTCATTTATGTCTCTTTTCTAGGCTCTTGGGATGCTCTTTTGGCATAAGCATAATATTGAAAAATCATTGGCTGATTTGCCCAACTTTACCCCCTTCCCAGATGAGTGGACTGTGGAAGATAAAGTCTTATTTGAACAGGCCTTTAGTTTTCATGGGAAAACTTTTCATAGAATCCAACAAATGGTAAGTGACCACCAGCTTTTGTTTCCCCTAGCATCTGTATTCTACGCATGCATGAGAGATGGGACTGTCGTCCTTGAGCATAGATGTTCCTGTTTTTAATAACTCTTCTTTCAGAAAATGTAGTGTCCTGGTGAGGTCCTTCCCAGATCCTCAGCTGTGCTGCCCCTCTCCTATGCTCCACCCAGCCCCTTGTTGAGGTCCCTCCACAATCAGTGAGCCCTGGAGGGACCTGAGGTGGCACATCCGGGTCCAGTCTGGAAGGCTGTTTGGTCGACTCCAGCATAAAAGCCCTCTTGTGTTTGCCTTAAGTGTTAAAATGAGTTCTAAACAACCAAACCCAGAGTAGTGCTAAGAGCCTTTACTTACATGAAAAACAAATTCTTCTTAGTCTGACTTCATGATCTTTCATTGTCTCAGTTTCACTCAATAAACTTCAGAAATTTGAAAGCACATTGAATTGGAAATATATTTTGTTGATTTTGTTTCTTATCAGAGAAAAAGGCTGTGACTTTGGACATTTCTGAATGTAAGAGTGATACTTATTAAATATATCTGTTGAAGATCAGCTTTAACCCTGAACTAACTCATTTTTTATATTTAGCTTCCTGATAAATCTATAGCAAGTCTGGTAAAATTTTACTACTCTTGGAAGAAGACAAGAACTAAAACCAGTGTGATGGATCGCCATGCTCGGAAGCAGAAGCGGGAACGGGAGGAGAGGTGGGTGTGAGCTGAGGGTGTCTGACCCTGGGTCTCGAGGGGCTGTGGGCGCACAGGACGCACAGAGGGTGAGCACACCTACAGCCCTCCTCCTGCCACTCCGCAGCCTGTAGCAGAAGAGGTCTCTTGTTCTTTAGGTTGAGATTTCTTCAGTATGGTGAGCCGAGATTCATTTGACGTGTGTATTTGGTTAGTAACACAACAGAAAGGAATACAGTTTAGATTTCTTTCTTCCCTCTTTTGGCCATATGTATTGTGTTTGTGATTAAGAAAGAGAAACAATCTGCAATTTATTAAAAGAATTTTAGTTTGGGGTTTTGTTGTAGTTGTGGTTAGTTTGATTTTTGGGTTTTTTGGCATTGTTGATTTTGCAGGTGCTGGGAAGGAACCTAGGACTTTGTATGCGAGGCATGTGCTCCACCAGTAGCTCTGCCCTGGCCGGGTTACGGTGAGGACAGTTTATAGGCAGGAGTCGTAGCGATCGCACTCCTGGTCAGGTTGGTTCGGCATGCCACTTTCCAGGGGTTTGTGTTAGAGCAGGATGTAGGTAGCTTCTCCGAGTTGCATCTTCCACATTTTCTGTACTGTATGACATATGAATTAGTAACAGAGTAAAACAAGCTGAACTGTGTGGTTCCCAAGTCCCTTTTCAGGACAGAATTGGACTGTTGCAAATGAAAGAGAATAGCGTGTGAGAAGACATTGACAGTGAGGTATCACTTTTGGGGAATTCAAACTTCAGGGCCCACCTATAAATTGAGAATGATGTTAAGGACATCTCCAAGGCTCTTTGCAACTATCCGCTCCCAGCTGGGTGTTGTACACTTGAATCCTAGCTGCTTAGGAGGCTGGGGCAGGAGGATTACTTGAAGCCTACCTGAGCAAGATAGCAGGACTTTGATATCAAAAAAAAAGAAAAAAAAAGATTCAGTGAAACTATTGACCTTGACAGGAGTGCATATGCTAGTGGGTCTCTTTAGGGATCCAGTACTCTTACTCAGTTTCAGTTAAATTTTTCATTACTTTATATGTCAGACCTAGTTTATAACTTTCATATTGGGTCTTGCTGCAGGCAGATAGTCTAAGCTGTGGTCAGAATGATGTCAGAGTGTGGTTTTGGTCACCCTTGAGTATGTCAGGGTGCTGGAGGACAGGACACGCTGTGTTCTCAGGGCACAGACGCCTCTCCCCCAGCCCCCCCACCCCGAAGTACAGCCCTGGAGTGCACAACTGCACTAATAACACAGGCTTGGCTTGTGAAGGTATGGCAGAGCCAGGCCTTCTGCCTAGGCTCCTCCTGGGCGCTTTCAGCTGGAACTTCAGCTTGCATGGCGGTGCCTGGGGAAGTATGCTTGCCCAGTCACCTTCCAAGTGCTCTGTTGTCACTCTTGCCCCACTGGCCTTAGCTGGGCAAACCGGAGCAGCTTCTTGGCTTTTTAGAAGTAGAGTTCTGGGGCTGGGGATGTGGCTCAGTGGTGCTACTGCCTGCCTCACAAGAACAAGGTCCTGAGTTTGATCCCCAGTACCAGGGAAAAAAGAAGTGTGTTCAGACTATTGTGAGCAAAAGCTTTTTTTTTTTTAATTACAAAACATCGGTTAAGAGCCAGGCATGGTGGTGCATGCCTACAATCCCAGCACTCGGGAGGCTGAGGTAGGAGGAGAGGATCACTGTGAGTTCAAGACCAGCCCGGGCCATGTAGTGAGTTCCAGGTCAGTCTCAACTACATAGTGAGATCCTGTCTCAAAAAAAACCAAAACAAATCAGTTATGCAGACCACCAAAAAACCTCACAGTGTGTGTGGCTGTGAGTAAAAAGATGGATGTAAGGGGACTCTGTCTGTTCCCAGTGCAGGGGCCTTCTCTCTACCTGAGCTTCTCAGTGCTGTCTGGGAAGCGGCCCTGGCCTCAGCAGACAGTGATGGGGTAAACTGAATGTTTCTGTGCTTGGTATTTGCAGTAGAGAGTAGAAAGCAGCACTTGTTGCGTATAGGAGTAGGATCAGTATTCTCAGCCTGGGTTGGGCAGCTGGAAACCCATTTTAATGGTTTTTCATCATTTAGACTACAGAATTCTGGTCAGTGGTGTTCTCTTTGAATTATAAAAATGTTATCTCTGCCGAGCATGGTGGTGCACGCCTGTAATCCCAGTACTCAAAGGGAGGCTGAGGGAGGAGGATCGCTGTGAGTTCGAGACCAGCCTGGGCTACACAGTGAGTTCCAGGTCAGTCTCAACTACATAGTCAGACCCTGTCTCAAAAAACAAACAAA